GCCGCCCGGGGGCCGTCTCAAAGTCTGCCGTCTTTGTGTTTCATTCATGCAGGCCGGAGGACTGTCGGCTGTCTTTTCTCACGAGCCGCGCAAACGACCGGTGAGATACGCGCACGCGCGCACATACACACAAACAGGCGCGCAGTCTGCATCTCAAGCGTTGCACGTCTTTCCCAGGGACCGGGATACCCATCAAGATGGAGACTCAGGTGACCGCCAAGACCAGAGCGTCTGAAATCATTTTGTCGCACGGGCGAAGGAACAAACCAACGTCAAAGTTGTACATTTGATCAAAGTGGTCTTCAAAAGTCTTGGGTGCGATCTCAGCGGCGCCGCCGCGAGATCTTTCGTCCAATCCGCTCGCTCCTAAATTGGCTTTTGCAAGGCCGACAGTCCGAGCCCGTCTGAAACACGATGAAAATTGTTTGTGCCCTTCAGAAAGTCTGACACGTCGTCTAAAACAAACAAACAAACAAAAAAGCTCCTCCATGTGTGGTATCGTCATATTCCATTTCAGAAAATGCCTCTTTGTTACATTGACACCGAATCAACGCGGTCTTCAAGTGATCGCTTGAAGAAAATTTCCATTGCGTGGAAATGACCTCAGAGGCCGCAAAGCAATCCAAAGGGCCTTCACCAAATGAGAAACGGAGCCGACGTTACGGCTTCCTTCTCATTTGAGTCGGCGCTGGTCTTTCGACCAGTGCGGCCGCGTGCGACATCTTTTCAACATTTCCACTTGGAACAAGTCGCACGTTCCGAGAAAGACGTTTACCGTAGATGAAAGTCTTCGATTGGATCAAAGTGGCCTCCCAAAATACAAACGAGACGTCTCGTCCACAAGGCGAGTTCTCTTTGTGTGCGTGTGTGTGTGTGCACAGAGGGGACGGAGTCGTGGAGCAGCGCGGAGGGCCTGTTCCTGAGCGTCGGCGTGATGGCCATCCCTTGCCTGAGTCCTCACGCGCCCCGAGGGCTGGCCCCCGACACCAAGTAAGAGTCTCGTGCCCGCCCGCGTACTTGGCGCTCACGGCCGTCCGTGCTCAATTTGTGAGCGGGCATACGATTGCGCGGCTCTACAAAGATCACTCTGAGTGACAATTTCCATTTGGAGTGAGAAATGTGGATGTGGTGGGATAGCCTATGCGGAATGAGTGCAGGCACTGGAGGGGGCGGGGATTCCACTTTCTTGACTGTTGCGCTTTTGCGTTGGCTGACCGTGTTCTCCGACTTCTCCAGACTGGCCGACGGGAGCGCGACGTTGATTGCGGTGGGGGCCACGTCCAGGTCGGAGTTTGTCAAACACCTGAAGAGCTACGGCGCCCCCGGTGGCCAGGTGAGGCTGACTCGTTCGTTGACCCGCTTGTTGTCCTTCGAGCTTCCGCCGACGAGGCCGTCGGGGGAGCAGATTAGGCTCCTCCTGCACACTAACCCACTTTCGGGCTAAATATACCGCCGGGCCACGCTCTTTACTCACTGACCCACTTCCTGTAGCCTGGCGGGTCAACAACAACGCGGACGTAACCCGCTTAACCAAGTACGACTGGACTGACTGACAGCGACAACAAAAATATCAACGTCCCATTTGTACCGTGGGTGTTATTTTGAATTTCGTCACCTTCCGATGGGAGGCTGACTGCCAAGGTGCTCATCGTCCTTCCTGTCATGAAATGTCAAAGAAGTGTCTCGGCAGCCATGTGGCGTTCCCCAAGGCCCCTTCGTGGGACCCCTTTCCGATGGCTCAATGTTTGCAGATGACACGTCTGTATCTGTGTCAGCCAATCATGTGCCGCATCTTCCCAAAAATGCTTCCGGGTAATTCAGTCGGATCGCCATCAACATGTTCACGTCTTGGATTCGCCCTCAATGTGTGAACGTTGCCTCAAATAAGTCTTGGATCTGATCCAAGTTCATCCCGAACGTCCTTCAAAAGTTTCAAGTATCGTCCACATGGTCATAAAAAGGCTCGAATTTGGGTTCGGGCTTCGATTGTAAACGTGGTCTTGAAATGGCTTCATTTATTTATTCGGGTCAGGCGATTGAGAACCGATCCTCAGTTGCAGCGCCAACCGGGCCGCAGACAGTCCAATTAAACGAACAAAACGAGATGGAGTTTGATTGCGACTTGGTCGAGTGGTCTTTCAAAGTCTCATCTTTGGTTCCAGTGGTCTTGGGTGCGTCACAGTGACAATTTGACGCTGTGGAGGTGGCAGGAGAACGAGGTTGGAACCTGATCCGAAATCACATGCAATTGAAACACACTGTGATTTAAAAAAAACAAAACGATAAATGTCTTCGAAATGCGGTTTTACAATGGACAATGACCACAATCGTTGAGTTCAACGTAACCGACGGACAAACGGCGTCTTCACTTTGCTCTCTGTTGGTCTCTGCGGCCGCCTGCTGGCGCATTAAGGAATTACAGCCGGCCAGGAAGTCAATGCAACCAGTGAACGAGATTGTTTTTCCAAAGTGGACATTTGGGCTCATGCACATCGGCCGAATTTGACGCACAGGCCTTGAAGAGTTTTTGAATAAGTCACCAAGTGAACATTGACTCCAATCTACAAGTTGCTGGCCTTATGCATTGACAGATTTCGGTCGTCGAGGTGAATTTGCCACACGAGTTTGGTGTGTGTGTGTGTGTGTGTGTGTGCGCGTGTGTCCCCAGGTGGACTTGTCCTTTGTGGAGACGCGCGCCGTGACGGCGGTGAAGCTCCGCGCCCGAGGGTCG